AAAAAAAAAAATGGTTTTGAGTAATTATTTAGTTCATACTTTGCAGCCGTTTTCTTAGTTGAATTTCCTATTGAAAGAATTTGTAGCTGCCTAATATAGCCAGTCAGGAAAGAGAGGGCGGTGACAGGAACAGGGCTTGCGTGATGCATGCTGCTGACAATACTGCCATCCTGTAACATGGTTTTATTTAGTTATTACAACTATCTCTCTGTAAATGACATTTAGGATTATTTAAGATTATGTTGTAATCCTTTTAATCCTTAGTGCTTTAAATTTCAGGCTAAACACCAAAGAGCAAACTAGCACTTAGCAGGAATGTTTAAAAGATGTGATTTGAACATAAATCTTTTTATTCACTTTTTCCCTGATGAAGACTTAGTGTTGCTCTTAAGTTTAACTAAGAAAACTGTACCACAGTTTCATTACAAATCACTCGGTTGCTAAATGTTTTCTCAAGCTACATCAAACTTGTGAGGGTCTTTGGCAATTATCATGAATGCTGAATTAAACAGAAGTTAGCAGTGATGGACAGTTTTTACAAAGGTACATTAGAATTTGTATGACCTTTTATAAAAGCTAAGTATGTGTCTGCGTTTGTGTGTGTGGATGTAGAATGCTCACTCTGTTTCCTAAGATCTAACTAGTTAGATGTGTTTGTAGATACATGTCCATTATTATGCATGTATTTATACATGCATATTAACACTTTATGACTTATCCATGTGTACTTTATCATAGAAGTTAATTCTTTAATTATTACTAAGAGGCACCAATTAAGCCAAAGATTGTTCTCTTATAAAATAAGTTGATCTTCTAAAACTAAGCAAGTGATCACTGTTTTGATTTACTGAAAGTTGTTGAACATCAAAACTTAATAATTAATGTTATTATTATATTACCATATACCAATCAAATAAGACTGAATCCACATTAGTAGTTTGATAAGCTTTTGACTATGAAGGAAATTTGACTTTTAAAACAAAGAGAAAATGAACAACTTAAAGGTCTATATGGGCATATACAAACAAACAAAATCCTTCCATTTTTTTGTATCACAAATGTGTTCTTCTGAGACTTTCAAGGATATCTTAAGCACACATTATTTTTGTTTGTTTTTCTGTTCATTTTAAGATCAATTTCTCTGTAGACATTGTAATTATGTGGCATATAATTGCTAATCCATCAACGGTTTAAAGACAGATTTCAAATTTTAAATTATTTCTAATTTTGCACTTCTTTGATTTTTCTTGAATCAAAAATCTCAATAGTCGTTTGCTATCTGTAATCTATAATTCATAGACTGAGATTGAACACCAAGCCTAATTCAAACTTGGAATTCTAAAGCTATTTCTGATATAGTACATCAGCTGAAGCTATGATGGTCTTTTTCAGTCAGGAAGAAACACTTCATTATTCTGTAGGTAATGAAACCCCCTGCTCACACACACTCAAACACCCAACAATGCCTTAATACCATGTTTTTGAGATATAATCATGTTTATCCAGATCATTTGAGAGTTAGACCAGCTAATGTATCTAATCAAATATTGATGCAAGTCATCTAGATTTAGCTCTCCAGCAAATCCTTCCCGATGCATTTGCGTTAACAGAACTATAAAAGCTATTTATATTGTTCCTCTCAAAAGGCTTACTCTCATGGTCTCTATCTATGGATATATATTAGTAAATTTCACCAAAGCTCGTGTGTTTAGATGATGAGAAGAGTTCAGCATGTAAAAAATCAAGTGGTTCACTCCCCCCCCCAAAAAAATATGAAGCAGAAAATTAAACTTGAACGCCTTTAGCTTTGTTATCCACAATATCCTTAAAATCACCCCTGATTCCTTAAACTATAGGGTACAATATAAAAAATAGAAAAAGATAAACTGGATGTAAGAACACTGTGGCCCTATGAGTCGCTCAGTTACATTGCAAACAAAACTAGCTGGCAAGATTTTCACCTCCCAAAGCTACCAAAAGTGAGAATGCTTTTTAATATCTTTGGAAGTATCTATATTCGAAAATATAAAAATCAAGTACAAAATTGCAACAGGAGGTGGTTAGTCATGTTCCAAAAAGATTAGGATGATACCATCAATATAGATTATTGAAATGCATATCCCTGCTTATTATAGGCTTGTAAACTTATACATAAACATTTTTAAAGTTTTTCTTCAATATTTACACCTTGGATGCTTTATACATAGTTAACTGTTATCCTTATTTTTGGTCTAATTTAACTCTTCCTAAGGTTAATAGAAGGAACTGAACAAGTCTGGC